ATCAACTGGAGAAAACGACTGCAGTAATCTGACTATGACAGCTTTCTGGATGGTTTATCGCATCCGCTCGAGTGCTATCCACGCATGTGAGATCAAATGAGATAAATGAGGTGACAACTTATTCGTCAACACCTATGTTTGCAGTAATGGTGAACCAAGTGGTACCCCAACTCTCTCCATGTCACTCGGACAAGGACAGGATACGGCTTGGACTTGAATGCGCGACATGCTCAACAGCCGTGTCGTACAAAAGTCGAGTGTCGTTGAAAACTGCTACAGGTGTAAGAGGGCGCAGTTCACAACAGTCTTTAATTACAACACGACGCTTGTGCGATGAGAAAGCGTATCACGACTTGGAGGGAAGCAGAAATACTAAACACCCCCAAGGTATTTTGGACTGTGGATTAAAAGGAGTAATGGCTCCTTGCTACAAGCAAGACACCACAAAGGCTCATATATTTTTTCTATTCAAATCTTGGGTTCCTGATTTATAAATCAAGAGTGCTCTGAGATTGAACCTCAGCTTTATTTCATACAAGATCTTGGGTGTGCGGAGCTCGAACTTTGAGAAGCTTGAGCTTCAACTTTCGTGGAAAGTATCCAGCAGAAGGGACTGGCTTACGCCATCCACATCAAAAAGAAAGGCACGCACCAAAACATATCCCCAAATAGAAACTAACATTCTGTACCACACAGAACATTTGTGAGTTCGTACAAGACATCACGTATGCATTTGGGAACACCATATTGTATCTTCTTTTATAAATCCACACAGAGCATACAGAAGGTAGATAGATTTACCATCATGTGCTGGCAAGTGTTGCCCATTACAAATATCGTAGTAATGATATTTGTCAAGATCTCATTGCGATTTTGGTCAGTGTAACAGCATTCATGAAGTGTAACCATGTCTATGTGTCAAAACGTTGTATGTGCATTTCAATTAATGAGGGTATATTTGTTATAAGAGCGAGTAAATACATCAAGCAGTTCTGAATTTACAAGATTTTCATTTCATGCTAGTTAACAAACCAGTTTAACCTCCAAAACCGTTTATGGACGAAAAGATAGACAGTTATTTATCATTGATTTATGTGATAAGCCAAGTGCCGCCTGCCTTGCGAGCGGTAAGTGCAACTTAGATCTCAATTTGTGTCACTTTTGTTCCAGCTCGCTTCATTAAGCATTTAAGCTAATTTTGGCTTTTACAATCAAAGGCTTCTATGCGTCTACTAGTATAGAGGACATGTTTCAAAACGATGTACCGCGTCCTACTTGTAGAAGCGCTGAGTTGAATTACCCTGAGCTAGATAACAAATTCATTAAATGTTCATCGTAGTCAAGTCAACTGTTTTGCAACGCGTGTTTTTGTATGCTGCATTCTTCATTTTGTGATTGAAGACCCGTATCAAAAGTTTTATATTCGAAAGTTTTACAAATGACTTATGGGTGTGATAAGCAAAACAAGAGCGGAATTGCTCTCGACTTCTCGAGTTCTCCACAAATCAAAATCATCAATACGTAAAACTAGAAAGTGAGAATTTAAAGAGATATCCCATTTTTAGTTCACGACAAAAAAATCAGGTAATAATCATGTGTTGTATGTATTCGATTCTTCACGAAATGTACTCTGATGTAAAATGTCGTGAATCGAGCAGAAGCAGAAGCATGCAAATGATGTATTCAGCATTTATTGTACTCTTGAATTATCTTTAAACGCCAAGTTGCGCACAAGGCACACTGACTAATAACTTTATCAAAGGCAAGACCCTGATATATCCACGTTCTTCTTGCGAGGATATCTAAAACGTCGCTCTCTTTCTTATTATGATATGACACACCTAAATTATATGGTAGCAGACCTGATTCTGAATTATGCTCATCATCTTCTTGTTTACCTATGCTCCAATTGTTTGCTTATGTCAGCCATATATTTGATTTGTCGTTGTCGATTTGGCATTAAAATTTCTTTAAAGAGTTATAAGGTATTTTCGCGCCATTATGTATGTGTTTGAAATGAAAGCGATTGTAAGCACGATCCAGTGGCTGAGGGGAGTATTGCTTTCTCTTACCAAGAACCAATATATGTTAAGCAGAACGTGCCAAGTGTCATAGTCGAAACCATGCCTTTAACCTCGGCGAGTATTAGACCCCATTGCTTTGTACGCTCAAAAGACTTGCACAACTCTTTAAAACATGGCTTCAAGTTTTATTACTGTATATGAGACAGCGTCAAACAAAAGAATGCTAATCAACCTAGGTACGAATCGCGAT